CCCACAAAGAGTAGCAGTGTCAGCAGTCTGCAGACTCAGAAGCCGAGAGCATACTAATTTCTATGTGGAAAAAGACCCTCTACATTCCACAGAAAATCCTATACTTCAGTGCCTAGATAAAAAGACTGTGGTCATACCTGGCAAATCCTATGCCACAAATTGAGATTAAAATCCCACTTTAACCAGGAAGGAAAGAAAATGAAAAAACTTATACCAATCTTCCAATAAGGACTAAATGTCAAATAGAAGTTAGAGTTACACACAGATATTGAGAAACTCAGTAACAGTGGTCTCCATCTCTGGAAAGAGGAAAATAGTGAATTAAAAGAGATTATTAGTGCACAGACATGTTTACAATACCAGAGATATTCTTGACACTAATATTTGAACAGCACCACAGAGAATTAACTAGTACAGTCCCTCAGCAGTGTTTTATATGAATGAAGGAGGAAACCTGAGCTTTGCAGTGAATTATAATGCCAGCGGAGATGAGCTGTCTTTGATTTACAGCCCCTTTTATTAGGCTACTAGGCTCTGCCTTCTGTATGAGAGACAAAGGTGTGGAAATTAACAGTTCTGTCAGTGATGTGTTCATTAATTACATATTAAACACTAGCAGGAATAAGACTAACTCTGACATGACAATTCCTTACAATATTCTAGACTACTATCACACTAACCTGTAAAAAGTTAAGATAAAATGCAATTTTAAGTATTAAATAAATTATTTTAAATAAAAGAAACCAATTTCCCCCACATTAGCCTTTACACAGACTATCTATTCCCCACTACAATTTTTGGTACTTTTTGAATCAATAAAAGTGCTATCATACAAATAAATAAATACATGCATAAAATCAGATTTAAATGCAGACCAAAAAATACTACCCAGAACCTATATTTATTTCATCACATTTCTGAATTTTTTTTCCCTAGTTTATGATAGTACCTTGTTTTCTTCTGCTCTTTTTTATTCATGTTGTAATTTGATTTTCACTAAAGATTTGCTCTTTCACAAAGACTTCTGTGATGTGTAAGGGCACTTTATCTGGTTTTCAATTTTCTGGAAATAAGCCTATGTTTTTTAAAAAAGGGAAAAAATACTTAGAGGGACAGAAAAAGTTATTTAACAGTAAGACATCAAACTGTGTCAATGCCACCACTGAGTAATTTCTGTGAGCAGCCTTTGCCTTCCTTACCCCATCTGGCCTTAAAGTCTATAACACCCACTCACTGCATTGCAACAAAAATTAGACTAAGCTCCTTGGGGCAGGGTTCTGTATTTCTGTAACTGCTCTGAAGCACCTAACATATATCTGAAAGCTGTAGAGGGAAAAAAAAAAAGAAAGAAAAAAAAAGACGAGTCCAAGCTGTTAAAACTTCATTTGTACATTCAGCCATCTGTGGATTCCTTGTCATGTTTTACGGCAGGAGTATTTGGTTCCATGATTCCAAATGAAGGGAAAGAGTCCAACTAGTATGACCAATGCCATATTGGTTATATACTCCATTTACATACTCACGTAAAGAGTATGTACTCATAAGACGTGCGAAAACAGCATGCCTTTTGACATGAACTTGTTCCAAATGGGATCAAGGTTGATCACAAGTACTTTGTATATTTTTGATGTTACATTTATTTTATATGTATATATATATATATTTATATATACATACACACACATACTATGTATTATTATATTTCTCTTAAGAAATGAGTAGGACATATTAGCAGATTTGAATCTTTCATTTGATGAAAAAACAGCTATTGAGTGGAAAGATGAAGCTCAAGTTCTGTAACATTACTCCCCTGACTCTCATTACCTCCCTTTACTTGTTTTTCTCCTCTCCTCTTGCCTTTACACATACCTATGTCTCAACTCCAATGTGACATGACATGGCATGGCATGGCATGGCATGACATGATCTCCACAGACCACCCACAGATAACTGTGCTGTTGGAAAATTATCACTTGCAAATTAAATGTTCGTTATTCTATAGACCTTGTGACAAACGTCTGCCACATAGAGCATTGGTTTTACTATGTAAAGAGTTCATACATTTATACGGATGCGAGTTTTAAGCGTGCCATGAGACCCATTCAGGGGCTGATTCAACACTATTGAAGTTAGTCATTTGGCATTCAAAGATTTGCAAGTGGGGATTCCTCAGATAGAGTGAAATAGAAGATGTGCATCCAAAAGCTCATTTCAGAACAAATCCCTTGACTTGGTTATGCCTGTTTCTTAATGGGTTGAACTTGAAACAACATGAAGTGCTTTGTCTTGCTGACAACTTTACCTCCCAGTTTAGTTTCAATGGAAGTTACTAGATCCATGCTTTCCTAAAGCTCAGGCTAAATAAAAGTAAAATTGGTTCTCAAGTTGGTTCCCAAGTTGCCTGAACCACAGAAAAATCATAGGTTTTTTTAACAGAACACTGGTCTCAGTGATTGGTGCAGGTGTTTCTGCATCTCTGGATACTGCAGATTTCTATCTGAAAATTTTAATTCATCCACTTGCATGGGGCTATGGAGTAAGGGGTAGGGAGAAAGAACAGATCCCTTTCACACTATTGCAGCTCTGCATAGAGCGGTCCTACTTCCCTGACAGGCCGTCTGCATACTGTGTCTACAAGCACTGGAGGTGTCATGATAATATCCAGTGTTTGGGAAGCAGATCCTGACTGCAAGGGATTCTAGCCTTTAAAAAAAGGCTCAGCTATTCCCAGGCCAAGCAAGTAAAATTCAGATGATGCAGCCTTTACGCATCTTTAAAAATTTCTAACCATTGTGAAATTGTTCTTTGGAAAAGAAAAAAACTTCTGTGTAAGGGAAGAGTCCCTTCCATACACAGAGATAGTCTTCAAATCACAAGACTTTCTCCTTACAAATATGCCACAAATCGGTGTGAATTTCTGTGCACCATAAGTTCACAGACCAGTTATTTTGCTTGACTCAGAGCTGGTTTCTACCTCCTGTTATCAGCAAAGCCTACTGCTCTGGGGACTGCATAAAAACCACTGAAATTACCGTGGTGGAGGGAGAGGGTGATGAAGAAGAAACGTACATATGTTACATCAGATGTTAGTCAACTAGTTCTACATATTTTTAAGCCAGCTTCTCACCTGTTGAATAACTGAATTAAACTAGTGTGAAGAGAGAGAGTTAGCAGATTTTCTCTCTTCAAAATGTTTCACGTTCACGACCTTGGTTAGATAATTTAGTCAGCAGACATTTATTGTCAGCTTCTTTATGTTATTCATCTAGAACAGCAGATGCCACACTGAGCTGCAGCTCAGCATCAAGGAAAATCTGCCTGTGTGTCAGGGGAGACAGGATAGCCAGAACTCCCATAAGGACTAATTGGCACTCCAGTAAAAAGAGCTATCTTCAGCTCTACTCAAAAAGAATATTCTAGCATTTTTAGCATCCCTTTGAATGCTTTTAAGGAAGGCTCCTCTCAGTGCTCCTGCATTTCATCAGCTCTCCCTCTCATGGAAATCCTAAATCACATATTTAAAAATAGACCATCAGATTATCTGGGTAAATCATAAAGCTCGGCTTATCTCTCTCTTCTCCTTCAAAATATACAATTTATTTTGTCCACCAGCTCAGCAGCGTGAAGCCATGAATAATCCTGTTTGTCTCAGTAACCCAACTCAGAAATTGTCCCTGTATATCTCTATTCTGTGCATGTATGTCACACTGAGGTGTGTGTGTCTGTGTGAGCATAAAAGGAGAAGGCAGGTATTCACAGTTCTGGGCACAAAGGTGTACAATCCTGCTTATGCCAGTGTTTGTGCCCATGCCAGTTGCGTGCGCCCTAGCATCACAACACAGCCTTACACAGTCATGGAGAATAATACCAGGATTCTGCAGAAGTAACGTACTAAGTACTTCAATTATGCATTAAATTGTTGTTTAACAACAATCTGGACCACAGAACCTGTGTGCTTCCCCTGAGGGCAGACATAATCAATGCATGTGAGGAAGGAGAGAAAAATTTTTCAATTTCTCTTTCCCAGTGGTTCAGAGGCAGCACATAACAGAGCATTCAGTAGCAAACCCCGACTGTCAGCCCCAGCGTTTCCCATACGCACATCTCCTCATCCTCCTCCCCCTGCCAGTGCGGCCCATCAGGCCACGAGAGCCGGAGAAAGCCCTGCAGGGATATAAATAGCTCCTCGGGGGAGGAGGGGAGAGTGCAGCAGCACGTTTCCAAAGATACTTGCTGCAGAGGGAGGTTTTGCTGGATTGATTCAAAGGGGAAAGGGAACGGCTAGGAAGTTCACTGCCATAGCAGGTAATGACTGTGGAGAGGAGGCAGCAGCTGCCCTGGGGAAGCTGAAGGAGGAATGCCCCGCTTGCTGAGAGAGCAGCGATGTGGGGTTCCCTGTGTGTGTGTCCCACTTATTTCAGATAGTGTCTTCAAATCCTCCCCGTAGATAGGGTGTGTATGAGCATGAAGGGTCCATGGCTGTGAAAGACAGCAAGGATACGAGCCAACTCCGTTGAAGTATTATTACCACTCGCAGCTTATTGTCTGTGCCAAGTTTGTACCAAGCCAAGCGGTGTTACTGATAACGGGCTGTATTGCACCGACTGTGCATGCGGTGCTCTGAACTTGCCCCAAGCGTGGGCACGGTATAGCTGGCTCCACTGCCCTCTTCCCGATTTGCCTTGGAGAGACAAAGCCTAGAGGTTCTGTCTCCCCAGAGCTGACCTATTTCTCCCTTGCCTCCCGAAAACTTCGGGGAACTATAGACACAACCGCCCGAGGCACAGGTGCGCGATCGCCCTTTCCCCGCCGGCGACACCCCGGGCACTCCTCGGCCGCCGCCCGGGCTGGGGGCGCGGGGCGGGGGGCGCGCCAGCCTCCGCCGCGCCCCGGGCCACTCCACGCCTCTCCGTCCTCCCTCCCCCCCGGCGGACAGGCACCCCGCAGCCGTGCGGCGCTGCAGTGCCCAGCCCGGCCCGGCCCGGCCCGGCCTCTCTCACCGTCCTCCAGAGCCGCTGCCTCTTGGCACTGACGGAGGTGGCGGTAACGATGAGGTGGGAGACGGACACCACCAGCCCGAAGACGATGGCCAGCAGAGTCCGGACGGGCAGCAGTGAGTAGGACACGAAGGTTACCAGCATGAGCTGCCACATGCCCTGCTCGGGGGCGCTGGGAGGCTCCATGCCGTAGGCGCCGAGCGAGAAGGGGCAGCAGAGGAAGGCGAAGGTGAAGCTGAAGAGCAAGGTGAGCTTGACGATCTGCTGCAGCTGGGTGACCTGCAGGTACTTGACATTCGTGACGATGAAGAGGGAGAGGAAGATGATGCAGTGCACTGGGTGCGAACCTTTGGAGATGGTCAAGTTGGGGCCGGAGAGCAGCTCCACCAGGGCCAGGCTGGCGGTGAGCACAATGAGGACGGCCAGCGCCTTGAGGGTGGACGTCTGCTCCAGCTTCAGGTTGTAGCTCTGGAAGAGAGCCTCCAGCTCCTTGCAGTCAAACTCGTCCTCGCAGGCGATGGCATCCAGCAGCAGCAAGGGAGGGGGGTCCCCCAGCCCGGCTCCTGCTCCCGACGCTGCAGCAGCTGGCGGGGAGCAGCAGCAGTGGCAGCACTTCTTCCTCTTGGTCTTGACTTTCTGAAACGGTATTTCCTCCATGTCAGTGCCATTCATAAACCCGGGGGAAGAAATGCTCCTCCTGGTGTCCCCCGCTGCCGCTCCGCCGCCTCGCTGCTCATAAAAGAGGGGGAGGCTGCGCTCAGGAGCCCTCAGCTCCGCGGGCGCGGGTCCCGGGCGCACCCGCCAGCCGCCGTCCGCAACCCGCCGCGCCGGCAAACGCCCCCTCCGCTGCCACCGAGGAGCCGAGGGTGGCTGGGACGGCGGGAGGAGAGCCTCACTCGTGTAAATGTGCCAACCTTCCTGCCTGCTGCCTCGCTCTCCCCTCCACCCTCCTCCTCCTACTCCTCCTCCCCTGGTGCTCCAGGGATGTTAATCTCCTAATGACACCAAAACACCATCCGAAGGTTTGGAATCAAACGGAAGTGGGGTGGGGGCAAAGGGTGGGTGGAAGCTCAGAGAAGGGGAGTGGGGGATAATCAACAGGCGGATCTCCGTTCAAATAACGCTATTTGGAGGAGCGGGAGCTACAGAGGGCGGGTTACAAACGTGTTCCCCTGGGGTGGGCAACATTAAAAAAAAATTAGCGACAAGGTAAAAAAAACAGTAACGAATCCCAGCCAGGGGTCTGGAGGAAAAGTGGCGCAGAGGGACCGGAAAGAAAACAGGAGGCAGGGAAAGGCAGGGCGATCCCCTTCCCACGTCCGAGAGCATCTCACCGGGGCTGGCAATTGCGGGGCGCCTGCGCGCCGCTCCTTGGGAAGCCGGACACGTCCCCGCCTGGGCTCCGCAATTCGGGGTCAGCGGGGGGACCCGCCCGCCCCTGCGCAGCGCCCCGCGTCCCCCCTGCCGGGCGTCTGGGGCCCGCCGGCCCACCGGGTGCACCGGGCTCCGGCGGCTGGCTGACAGCCCTGTGCTGCCAGCCAGTCCTGACAGCTATTCATATACATATTTATATATAAATGTATAAAATCTACATATGAAGACACAGAAATACATACATATGTGAATATATAAAAATACATATACAATTTTAAATACAGGTGACTCCTGCTTCCTTTCAGAAATAAAGTCATATCTGCATGAATAAATATTCTGATGTTAGTGGTTTTGTCTCCTAGACTCTGAAGCAACTGGATAAAGTGTAGTGAATGAGAAAAATCTCAAGAAAACACATTTCTGTGAGCACTTCTGCCTGTCTGGGAGTACAGATCAGTCAGTGGCTGTGGAAGGCTACTCTTGTGACAGGAGATAAATATCATCCCCCACAAAATTGTACTTGATGGTGCCATCAAGAATTTGGGTGTTGTTTTTGAAAAAAACCTTCTAGTTCTGCCTATAATGTTGCTACCACATACCACTATTACCAAGTTGCACCAAAGAATACACTGCAATATATTTTTCTGTAACCATTGCATTTAATGTTGGCTTTGGATCAAGCATTTATAAAATTCAGGACTAGGAATATGTCAAAAAAATAAAAGATTATGAATATTTAGCTTTTTAAAGGCGGTGCAGGAGTACTTTCCGGAATCAAAACAGAATCCTACTATCTTGAGTAGGTTGAAGATCTAATAGCTGGGTTTTGTGTCAGTGATGTCACGTTCTGGTTCCAGATTTGGGCTGAAAAGCCTTAAGATCGACAGTAGGCAGGGATTCTTTAAGATTTGTTGTACCTATGAATGATGTTGATACTTCGCTTCTGGTTAATAAAGTAGCTTTTAAAAAGTATAATCTAAGGCAACATATTTTTCATATTAGTATTTTAGTATTTTATATTAGTCCTAGCCCCACATAATCAATATGCTGTCATTCTTTTGAACCTGAATAGAACTCATTAGGAAAAGGGAATGAATCAACATTGCTGGAATTTGTTACAGATTCAAAATATTCCACACTTGAGACAATGACTGTTACTTACTCTGTGTTCATGGGATGCAACTCATGGTGGTTTCGTAAACTGTGACAAAACGTCAAACACCGCAGAACTGTAAAGATAGCTGATATTTAGACTTTTCTAAGTTCCTTCAGGAAGAAAGTAAAGGGGTTGGATTTGCTGGCCTGAGTAGTAAAAACAGGATGTGTAGCTGAAATGAAATTAATCTGACAAACAAACAAACAGAGGCTTCCTTTATTTTGCTGTATCTATAGTGTGTTTGGAAAGTGTAATAAAATTAATCTCTTTGTTCACTCTGGTGCATAAATTCACTTCAGTCATACATATATTAGACAAATACACACTGTTACATTTTCACCTGTCCTCAGCTTTCTTCTGAGCTCATATATCCTGAGGGATAAATTAATATTTCACATCTCACACTGCATAAGAGGTGGCACCTAGTTACCCAGCCCTAGGAACTATCCACCGAAAGAGTTGTCACGCTAGCAGTTATCATTTCTTTCTTCCAGCTCTCAGCTTGCTGCTGGGGAAATGGAAGGTAATTCCCTACAAGGCACCCTGCAGTTTAGGTTATTTTCATGCTTCTTACAACCTCAGTCTGGGTTAGTTAGTACATACATACAGCAGAGAAGGCTGATGTGTACGAGACTCATACATGTCTATTCTTATCTGGCTGAGGGGAAGCAATGAACTGTTGAAGCTTCATCTTTCTTAGACTCTGTAGCAGTATGGAAATGCTAAATAGTGATTAACGAAACTCTTCCATCCTTTATACACTGTTTCACATCACAGGGCAAGTACTTTGCCATACCCTCCATAGTGAAAAGCCTCATTTTCAGCACCTGATGCTACAAATATAAAGAGGGAACCTCAGAACCTTTGTCTGAGACAGATATATTATTAAAGCAAATAACCAGCTATAGCACTACTGAAATGCACTTGACACTACCATATTTTCTGACTAAGCTTATCTGCTGAAGACGACAGTAACTTGGTTAGGTTTTTTGAACCATAAGCAGCACTTCAGGTCCGTAGTGCACTTCTACCTCATTTCTAAGGAAGATACAAGGTTGGTTTTGATATTTAATGCCCTCAAAGTTCTGGATGTTGGCCACATCCAAGTCAGCTCTTCCTATTGCATGCCCTTGCATTTGTAATTAGAGACTAGTCTGGAAATAAATGTAGTATTGTAAGGAAAAAGTCATTAGAGCCTAGCTTCATCATCTTGTGCATTGCAAAACACATCTGTTTTTTCAGTCCTTTTTTTTAAGAGGCAAACTGTCTTCATTGTTTGAGTCACTGTAAGTGGAAAACAATTCTTCATGGAGAGTTGGGCAGTATATGGAGCTATGTTACACTAAGCAAAAGTCTCACTAACTTTTCCTGGATCACAGTAATAGTCTTGAATTACAGAGCTACTCAGAATTTCAGAACACCTATTTTTACTTACTTTGAGTATGTAGGTTGTCCATTTAATAATTATTTTTCACTGTCCATTTTATTTTACTTTACTGGACTCAGTACTTGTTTTTGTATCTTATCACCTCCAAGAGTTTCAAGCACTCACTAACTCATGTGTTGGCTGAAGATCATCTTTAAAAGCAATACTTTTCATAAAACTAAAGCTCTTCAGATTCATGACAATTTTAAAATTAAGCATAATGAAAGCTTTGCATCAATAGAATTTTCTTCTTGTGGTATTTTTTATCAGAGTAAGGGTTGCACAGGTTTTCATCTTTTACCCATATTTAGTATTGCCTACCTGTAACAGAATGCCATGCTTTATCATCTGAGACAGGGATAGAAATCTTTTTTTCTTCTCACCGTCTCTGACAGTAAGAGTAAGGACTCGGCATAAAGCTATTGAGAAATTTCTGCAGACTCATTCTAGCAGACACAGCTTGTTCATGCCACCACAGAAATGTATCTAGTGAGAAAAAAGCAGTGATGTGGACAGGACAGAAGAGGTCCTGCAGAAAATGGTAGGAATGGCCAGGTTTAAACATAAAAATTCGGCAGTGTTTTCCTTCTCTCATAGCTGAAATAGATTCACCACTTTTTCTAGATTTTGAGGAAAAATTTGAAAAAAGTGAAAGTATGTTTTTCCAAATCATGCACAGATTTCATTTGAAATCAATATGGGGACTCCATTCACAATATTATTTCAAGAAACGTAGACTAGATTTCTCTGAGACTACTGAAATACTATCTGAACAGGTCTCATAAGCATCATAATGACTGTTCCTTAAAATTAATTGTTATTTTAAAGTTTGATTTATATTACATGCACTCTGATGGGAAAGAAATGAAATAGACAGTTCTGATACATACCACTTCCACAGTTAAACAGCTTCAGCTGCAAGGCTGAATTCACCTAACTAGAGCATTTCCACTAGAGAGCTGAAATAAGCTTTGCCCACTGACAGTAAGTGAAAGCCTTACAAAACCTACAAGTTTAGTCATTAGGAACCATTAGCATCTAACCTCACCACTGTTCTCCAAAGTCACTTCTTTTCCTTTGTGCTTCTTCATACAAGAACCAGTTTTAGAAAACAGAAGTGAGTCCTTCAAGAGTAAGTTTAGGCTATAATACTAATTACTCAGTGACAAACCTGTGCCCTGCTTCTGCTCAGGTCTAACAACAACAGGTTTGTTTATTCAGTTTCCATTGGACTGCATGGTGTTTTTTTTAACTGAGATTATTTTAGTCACAACTCTATCTGTATAGTAGTCTATCTAATTGTGTAATCTATTGGGAAAAAAAAAATTAGACCAGAAGAAAATTGCATTAAGGCCTTGACCTCCAGTCAATTGCCAGACAAGACTGTTGCTGAAGCAATTAGGAGATTTGACCGAAAAATAAAATGGCTAAAGTAGCTAATTTGACAGCAGAGAATGGGATGGGTTTTCTCCAGATCTCTGCAGAGCAGAGAGTATTGACATTAGGAGCATTTTAATCCTTTACCTCTCTCTTCTATTCTAAGCCTTCCAGGAGAGCATGAGACTTCTGTGACCTACTGAACTTCTATATTAATACTAATGAATCTCTTAAGCAAGCAAGCAACGTGCTTTTCTGCCAGCATGGATTTATAGCAGGTCAGCTGGATCCTTTCAGCTTTTGACCAGTCATTCATTTTCTCCATCAGTACTGCATCAACTCTGATTTATCTGTTCTTCATCTAAATTTAGAGCTGTCTAATGACTACTATATAGGAAAAATTTCGGAAAACCCAACCTTTCTCCCCCAACATCTTAGGACTTGTCCCTGCAACCGAACAATGAAGATTTCCCAAACCCATTAGCAGATTTAGTGGAAATTTGTGTTATGAAGGTGATCTGATTGACTAAAGTATTCTCAAAAATTCTTTAGCTGTAAAATGAACTCAGTAAAATTGAGACCAATATCAAGCATTCCATTGTCATTCTAGGAGTTCTGCAAATATCTATCATCAGTGTGCTGGCAGTGTTTAACAACATTACACGAATCTGATCTTGTTCCAGGAAATCAAAGGATGTTTTAATATTCACTGCAGCTATATTAACCCTGATATTATAACCATGCTTATTTCACAAGAAAGGCTTCTGCTCCTCTTTTTATTAATATTTCCATTTTCTAAGGTAAGAGCGTGGCTCTGTTCAGAGCCTTATTTGCCTAATGAAATGTAGTTTAGATGTATTTCGGAGTATGTATAAGGACAAATATTTCAGTTAGTATAATCCCTTGAATCCCTTGAAAGGAAAAGACAAGTTGTAAGCAAAAATAAAGACTGAAATTATAGCTGAATTACACAGTTCACTCCACATTTCTGATATATCCATTAAAAAAAAAATTAATAGTAATTCATATTCAGCAGTTCAGTTCTCCTATTTTGCTTATCTCTATGTTATACTGCACACATACTCTTGAATCACTTATGCTAAAGCATGGTATTATTATTTATGAATGGAAAGTTTAGTAAACAGCTTTTTTTTTTTAATGAAGGTTATCCGTTGTTTAAGATTTTTT